GGTCCCCACGGCCCCTACACTGGGCTGGGGAGCACAGACAGCAGCCAGTCCTCTGACATGGAGCGCAGCAGCCACAGCAGTAGCAGACAGTTTTTTTTCACAGCAGGCAGCTGGACCAGGTGAAGCGAGCTGATGAGCTCCACGTCCGTGAGAGGTCCTTCTACAGCCTCGGCAGGGCAGGGGGGGACTGCATCCCTCGGGGTGGGGACCCCCAGGGCACCCCCACGGCCGCTGGAGCCAGGGGTCGCTCTGAGGGGCTGTGGCATCCACCCCAGCAGGCTCCAGTGGGGGTGTTGGGGGTTCCCACGTGCTGTGTGCCCTCCTAGCATCCCCACTGCAGGCTCTGCTCTTGCCTGGGTGAGGAGCACTCAGTGCTCCCCAGCCCAGGAGCAAAGAATCACTGGTTCATGCAATCTGCTGTTAACCTGAGGGAGGCTGCCCCTGGCCCCGCGTGGGTTTGCTGTGCTAGACAGCCATGTAACAGCAGTCGTGGTACGCGGCGTAGGGTAGCGTTGTACGTGCACTGCTGCAAAGCGAGTAAAGAAACAGTGAGGAAAAGCCTCTGGCCTCGTGGTTTCACTCCCAGCCTCCTGGAGGAATAAAGGCATTTCTGTACCTGAGGATCTCCTGGCTCTGGTGTTTGCAGGGGGCTGCTCTGCCACAAACAGCAGCTGTGGAAGGTGCTGGTCAGAGAATTCATAGGATCATAGAATTTTAGGGGTTGGAATGGAGCTCAGAGATCATCCAGCCCCAAGCCCTGCCCTGGGCAGACACACCTCCCACCAGAGCAGGTTGCTCAAGGCTCAGCCAACCTGGCTGTGAACACTGCCAGGGTTGGGGCAGCCACAGCCTCCCTGGGCAACCTGGGCCAGGGTCTCACCACCCTCACAGGGAAAACTTCTGCCTAAGATCTATCCTAAATTTCCCCTCTTTCAATTTGTGCCCATTGCCCCTTGTCCTGTCCCTGCAGTTCCTAACACAGATCCCTCTGCAGCTTTCCTGGAGCCCCTTCAGCTCCTGGAAGGTGCTCTGAGGTCTCCACACAACCTTCTCTTCTCCAGGCTGAACAGCCCCACTTTCCACAGCCCGTCCTCACAGGGGAGATGCTTTTGTGCTCTGAGCAATTTTGTGGCCCTCTCTGGACTTGCTCCAACACTTCCATGTCCTTCTCACACTGAGGACACCAGAACTGTGTGTGGTATTCCAGGTGGGTCTCACCAGAGTATTTCTGTCCCAGGTATATCCCAGGGTCAGCCATCACCTCTGAGCCTGCAACTTGGCCAACATCCCCACACATTCTTCCCTTGGGGTATCAACCCCCACCAGCTCCTCTCCAGGGCTACCACCTCCCTGGGCAGTCAGTGCTTGCTGGGGACTCCACAGAGCATCAACCCACTCAGCTTGGCCATCTGCTGCAGTGAGAAATCCCCTCCTTCCCTCCAGAAAGCTGCTGGCACATTTGCTGGCTGCACTGTCCTTCCAGCAGCACCATGACCCCCTGGCTGTGCCAGCACCATTCCCACCACTGGCCCCAGCACGTGAGCCAGACTGGGCTTCGACATGCTGGAGCCAGGGAGCAATGCCCACAGTTAATCACTGTTTATGCAATTGCAGGTTGCTTTTTCTGTCTGAGAAGCTGCTAAAACAGGCGTGTCCGGCCTGGAGCCAGAGCAAACAGCATGGCTGGAGTAGCCTCGAGGGGAGAGCTGCTGCCTCAGCACGTGCTGAGGGGACTCCCACCAGCACTGTGCCCATGCAGGGAAGGGGTGGGAGCAGCCACGGTGTCAGTGACACACCCACAATGTCCCTGCCCCACTCCTCTGGGCAACTGCACACAAAAGTGGCAGATCCTGTTTGAGGCCATAGAATCACAGGATGGTTTGGGTTGGAAGGAACCTTAAAAGATTCTCTAGTTGCAAAACTACCCTCTTCATTTGCCAGGCAATCATGCTGAGCCTGAGCTCCCAGGAGCATCACCACAGTCCGTTAGACTTGGGGTGTGATGAGCCATGGCAATCATGGGGGTGAGTCAGCCTCGTTAGCCCCTTCCACTCTGAGCCAGATGGACCAGCACAAAGGTCCCTGAACCTTTGTTGGTCTTCTGGATTCTTCTCCAAGACTGGAAAGCTGCAAGCAACCCCCTACCACAGGCTACTTAAATCTCTGTCCCAGCAGCACTGGCACCAGGTTACCTGGGACAGTTCTGCTGGGGGCACCAGGGCCTGATGCCCATAGTGGGCACATGAAATAGTTCATTCTTTCCACTGGAGAGCATGAGCTGTAGCAAAGAGAGCCCCTAGAGCTGGTGATAACAGATAGCACCAGTGAGATACATGGTGTTATCCTGGTCCTGGTGGTTCCAGCATCATAGAATCATAGAATCTTAGTGGTTGGAATGGACCTTAAAGATCATCTAAGGTTCCAGGATGAGGACACCAGAACTGTGTGCAGTATTCCAGGTGGATCTCACCAGCGCAGAGCAGAGGGCTCTCCCTGGGAATCACCTCCCTTGACCTGTTGCCCACACTCCTGTGGCTGCAGCCCAGGCCTGGGTTGGTTTCTGGGCTGAGCTCACACTGCAACTCATGGGGAGCTTCTCATCCACCATCACCCCCAAGTCTCTCTCCTCGTTGCTGCTCTCAATGAGCATGATTTCCTGGCAAAATGCAATGGGTGGTTTTGGGCTCTCCCTGCTGGCACTGGTGGATTTTCAGCCCCATGTGGACCGTGGCGTGGTGCCCAGCCACCTCTATCCTCAGTCCTGACCTCATCCTTGTCCGCACGACTAAACAACATCCCTAAGCAAGGCCTGGGCACCATCTAGTGGAAGAAAAAGCTTTCTGCAGGGAACGTTTTGTGCCTGTTGAGCGATGCTCAGCTCTGCCTGCTGCCGGCATGGGCACTGCTGCCCTCTTGCCCCTCTGCTTCCCCCAACTCCCTGGGAGCCCTGCACGAATGGTAAGGTATAAACCTGAGTGTGCCAGGTATAAATGAAATACATTTATAAACCAGCATTACCTCCTTACACAGCTGCTGTTAAAGCACCTGGAATTTTTGTGCCATGACTCTGAATTTATATCAAGCACCAAGGTGCTCTGCTCTTCCAGAACTCACCTGCTGAATAGCACAAGTGGCCACTGAATGGAATAACTGAAAGTTTCCCAAGGAAAGCGTTTTCCTGGAGTATTGGACCAAAGTAGGGAGCTGGTTTTTCTTGCAGTGAAGGCTGATCTGCTGGGCACTGGCAAGATAGGAGCTGGCAAGATCACAGCAGGGCTAGAGGTGACCACCAGTTCTGGTAGGTGTTCTTCTGTGTCCCTTTGCTTTTTGGCTTTGCTGAGCTGTGTATTTTTGAGGAAAGCTTGAATTAGACCTTTATATATATATACATTTATTTCCTGTTTTCATATGTTGGTTTTGCCCCTTCAGGTCAGCAGTGATTTATCAATAGGTGTTTCTTCACCTGGGGACAGCAGAGGCTGTTGCTGAACAGCTTTAGGGTCTCACATCCCCCCTTGTATGTGAGTGAATCCTAGTGAAGAGTGCTATGTACCTTCTGGGGGCACAGAGCAGAATCAAAATCGTCCCTAAAAATCCAAGCTACTCTTGCAAGTACTAATGGTGGGATGTGGCCAGGCTAGTGTGGGTGGTTGCTTAGTCAGGTAAATGTCATACTTAGAGAAGAAACATAAAATCATAGAGTTTTAGGGGTTGGAATGGACCAGGGTTGGAGCAGCCACAGCCTCCCTGACTTTACACGTCAGTTAAAGACATTAAGCAACCACCAGGGAGTGCACCACCACCACCATGAGCATTGCCATCACTAACATCTTCATCCCCATCATCTTTCCCACTGCAAAAGCATGTTGTCTGCAGAGGGAATGAGGAACCAGCAGCAGCTCCTAGACCCAGGAGCTGCCGTTGGCTGGCAGCAAGTGTCCTCATCAGTTACAGGGTGATACGTGGGACATCACCAGTGAGAGCCAATGGCATGTACTGTACATCCTTTTGGGAGAAAGCATAATGCTGAATCATGCAATCATAGACTTTTAGGGGTTGGAATGAACCTGTGGCCCCAGGTTGACTGGGCAGATGACTTTACTAAGGAAGTCAATCAGGTTTGTCAAGCATGATTGCCTGGAGAAGAGAAGGTTGTGTGGAGACCTCAGAGCACCTTCCAGGAGCTGACGGGGCTCCAGGGAAGCTGCAGAGGGATCTGTGTTAGGAGCTGCAGGGACAGGACAAGGGGCAATGGGTACAAATTGAAGGAGGGATATTTAGGGTAGATATTAGGCAGAAGTTTTTGCTGTGGGGGTGGTGAGACCTTGGCCCAGGTTGCCCAGGGAGGCTGTGGCTGCCGGCCCCAACCTTGGCAGTGTTCACAGCCAGGTTGGCTGAGCCTTGAGCAACCTGCTCTGGTGGGAGGTGTCCCTGCCCAGGGCAGGGGTTGAGGTTGGATCATCTCTAAGGTCCATTCCAACCCCTAAAGTTCTGTGATTCTATGTGCTGGAGAATCCTGCCAGCCACAGGTCCTACCCTCATGGCTGCTTTACACTCTCCTCCCATCCAAAACTCGATCCAAGGACAAGTTCTGGGCACAGGAAGTCATGAGGGATGTACAGGAGGGATGGGGTGGCAGCCTGACTTGGGCTGCTCTGTAAATAAACACCAGGGATGTGTAATGTGATAGCACATATACTTGGCTCCAGCTGGGCTGTTTCTCTATAGTGTGTTGTTTTGGTGCCCTGGATGAGAAATCTGTAGGTTTGTTTTTGTAGCAGCCACTCAACCACTAAACTGCTCAACCTTCTCCACAGTCAGCATCTGGGGAAAGCCAAACACAAGCAACTGCATGAAAACATGAGCTGCAGACTGGCCTGAAAGCCAAAAGAAAGCTGTAATTTACTGGAAGGGAAGGTCCTCTTTAAATCTACAGAAATGAACATATATAGAAAGCTAACAAAAGCATGTAATGATTGTCTGGCAGGGAGCAGGGGATGCTGCTAGGAGAAGCAGTGATGTGGATCAACCATCAGATGTTAAACACAGTTTGTCTTGGTCAGGTCATAATCCCACATCCTTGCTGAGGAGCATCTCTTCCACTACTCAAACTGCAGAGATGCAGATAGAAACGCAAAAGCTCAGCTCCAATTGAAATTGACCAGAGATGGCAAAAACTTCAGGAAAAGCTTCTTCAGTTAGAAAAACAACTGGCAGAAATAGAAGGGAAATATTTGCCCTCCTGGAGAAATGGGTGCATGATGCCCTGAACAAGAGGTCTGTGCAGTGGGTGAGGAACTGGCTGAGAGACAGACCCAGAGGGTGGTGGTAAATAGCTCCTTGTCACTGGTGGCCTGTCAA